CAGGCGTTGTTTTTAAGAAGTAAATATGAATATATTGTAATTTTACGTGTCTTCCAGGCACTCAGCAAGGTTACCTGACAATTTTTTTCCGTTCCCTTGAAAAATGCAAGATGCGAATATGTTCGCGCATGGATTGTCATCCTCAAATTGCATCTCTGAGCGCTGTCTCTAGCATGCCTAAATTGCAGCCCGTCATTGCTCAGAACAGTATGACTCTTGACCACTCCACATAACAAATCCGTGGATGCGGCAGGCTTCCCAGTGCAGAGATTGGATCTATATAAGGGTTTTTGTGCTCAAATCATTTCAAACCATGGAGACCTAGTTGTAGTTCTTGGAAGTTGTAGGTTCGGTGACATCATCAAGGTTATGTTTCAGACATGAACGCAGTCTTCCAGCAGTCATAAATGGAAGGTTCATATTGTGACCTGTACTTCTCTTCCGGGATCACACTGTTGCTAAAGTCCCAGGAAGAAGCCGATCCGGATTCAGACTTGTTTCACCCTGGCCATGCGCTGGCGTGCCGGTTTGCGGGTGGTCAAACAGAAGCCATGGCGTATTTGAATCCAATTGGAAGTTGGACCCATCGATGCTCCGTTCTGAAACAAGAATCCGCAAAACCAGACACAGACTATGATTATGACTTGATTGAATGCAGTACAATGCAGCGTTTCACATGTCACTAAGATCACATATTGTTGCCCGAAATTCCATGCAATTCCCTTTGAATTTGTAGTTGCCAGCTTTCCTTTTGGCCTACCTGGTTTATCAATGTTTATCATATTTTATAGCTTTGTATAGGTTCCATCGTTTCCATCATTATTAGCTTTTTCCCACCAAACTTGCGTTCAGTTTCTGGGCCCAGTGACCCCCGCCACCGCTCACCGACCTCGGCCTTTTCTCGGAGAATGACGTTCAAAAAGATGTGTTTGTTCTTAGCGGGGAAAGCGGAGGGGGGTGTGGTTGGAAGTTGACATCCGTAAAACGGGTAATTCATGGTAATTATGTAATTTGATGCCTGGATGTTTTTGGGGTGCCACAAATGGGGATAAGTAATTAAGCAACCAAAAACATGGGGACCGGGACCGAGGAGGTTTTCCAAGATTGTTCAGGAATGGGATACGGCACCTACAACTTTCAGAAAGACCCTCCTCTGTACTACCAGTTTTTTTTCCTGGGGGTTCAGTACGCTTTTTAAAAAACACTATTTTCCAAAAATCTAGCAGACAGTGGGTGAGGGTCCCGGGGCATGATATGGGGCCAGGAAAAAACTATCATACCAAAAAAGGCCCAGAATTATTTTCCTGAAAGCTTCCTGACGTACAGTGACAGGAAATCAATTTCTGTTTGTTGCGATTGAGGGGGGGTTGATCTATCAGTCTGTGTATGTAAGGCATCAGGAAATCAATCATGAATGACTCTGATAATGGGTAAGTTTGTAAAATTCCCAAGGTTAGTAGCCAGGAATTTGAAGGTGGATGGATCAAATGGCAGTTTACTAGAACATATCTAAATGTCAAACCCCAGGAAAAAACATGTACCATGATTAATTGAGGGGGTATGATTCTTTACATGGCTTTGCAAAAGGGTACAAACACATATGTTCACCTTCACCAACCAAAAAAGTGACTTCAAGAGGCCAAGGCGCAGGGGTCAAAAATAAAATCCAAGGGGCTGGACCTTTTTTGACTGAATACTTGCGGATGATCTTCAAAGGTTGGCCCCACAGGAAAAAAGTCGCATCACCAGGCCAATCATCCACTGATAGGACATGATGGGACGAATTCAAGAATTTTGTGTCAACGCGCGCCCAAATTACAAAACACATGTTTTTTTGCTGAAAATACAGTTGTCCTTGCAAAAGGGTACAACCACATATGTTCAGCTTCACCAACCAAAAAAAGGTGACTTGAAGAGGCCGAGGCGCAGGTGTCAAAAATAAAACCCAAGGGGCTGGACCTTTTTTTGACTGAATACTTGCGGATGATCTCCAAAGGTTGGCCCACAGGAAAAACATCGCTTCTCCAGGCCAATCATCCACAGATAGGACATGATGGGACGAATTCAAGAATTTTGTGTCAACGCGCGCCCAAATTACAAAACATATGTTTTTTGGTGAAAATGCATTTGTCCTTGCAAAAGGGTACAACCACATATGTTCAGCTTCACCAACCAACGTGTGGCCAAATTGCAAAACAGGCGTTTTTTCCTGAAGATACATTTGTCCACGCAAAAGGGTTGCACATTGCCGTGGGCATCTGCCGGACCGCACTCGTGAAGCCGTGGACTCTGAAAAACTGCGAGCTGTCAGCCGGGAAGTCAGGTGCCAGGAATTCATTTTTTCCGTATCAGATTGAGGGGGGGAAGATATGGCATGTTACCAACGCAAGCATCCAGGAAATAATTTTTTCTTGGATATCAGAGGGGTAAATTTATTGGATGTTGGACGTTGGGCACCAGGAAATTAGCAAAGAAAATTCAAAAAGGTGATTGGAAGTGAGATTTCGGCTTCAGAGGTTAGGAGCCAGGAATTTAAAGCTCTAAAGCCTCTCGCAAAGGTTAGGGGTCATCATTTTAGACCGATTTTTTTCTAGGACTGTACCCCACGTTGGAGTACCGACGGGGGCCAGAAAGGTTGGAGAATGTTGGAGAGGTTTCTATGCAATTTGCCTACAAAGGGTGAAGAACATTTGGTTTTCCACCACAACCTCACAATATGATGTCATGGTTTGGAGCGGAACTGTATGGGATACAGTTCCAATGCGTGACAGTTATTTTTTAGATTGGTGAATTTTATCATATTTCAGCCATATGGTTCTTGAATGGACAATGTGAGGGTGCACAAAACGGGGCCTTGGCATATTCAAATTTGGTTTGAACAGACAGCGTCATCAAGAGAGTCAGATATTGCCAGTTTGCTGTTTTCTCGAGCCATGGATAAGTTTCAGTTGTAGACGAATTTCGAGGTTTCTGGCAAAAACACGGGAACAACTTGATATGATACACTTAGTATATTTTAGTATTCATTCTTCATTTATCAATTTTTGACATCCTTCAGAGGGTGAACTCTGGAGCCACGGCAGGTGGCCTCTAGCTTTCCCATGCTGTTACTGGCCACACGGCGACCGGAAGAGCAATTGGGTCCCCTCGTCGCATTCTTGCTGCTTGACTGAGGAGTTTCTTCAGCCGTTGTTGTTTTGTGCAGGAAGGCCACAAAATGTTCATTATTCAGTGATTTATGGAGGTAATCCCGAGATACATGGCCATATAGTAATGATAACCTGCAACAGTCACGTGCCTTTCACTGCGTTCAACTTTTTGAGGCCTGGTTTGCTTAGAACTTCCAATCCCCTCGCCCTCCTCCAAGAGTATTAACCGCAAAAACGGGTGGCCTCAGATCCCACATCAGTCCAATTGTGTACGTAAATTCATTTATGTATGCGCCAATGCATGAAATAGTGTATATAAATCTAAGGTCTATAATTCTATCCCAATGGATCCAAGAAGGTACGGCTAACCACCCAAATCATACCCAAAGCCCTCCCTGAGAAGGTACTCAGATCCAGAAGATATAAACCCATAGATATGTATATAAATACTTAAAGCTTGTGCGTCTTATGTGGTACATATACATAGTACATCATACTATAGATAGATAGATAGATAGATAGATATACATATATAAAGAGAAGGTATGCCCTCGTGAGGGCAGTGACCACACACAGATATATGTATATATATATATATAGTTGTATATATATATAGATATAGATGTAAATAATATACAGCAAATATAGAAAACTATATACACCCATATAGCCATCACCGAGTTTCCCTTCCCAGCGCTGAGGCGCAGCCTGGGCGTCGCCCCAAACGCCACGAAGGCGTTGCAGTTCTACGCCTGGCCCAATGCGGCCGAGATGCTTCGGGAAACGGCGCCCGGGACGGCGGACAGATCACCGTCAAAACCTATGAAATACCATGGGTTTAATCATTGTTTGTTACCATTGGGTTTTAATGACCTATAATACCATGGGTTTAATGATCACCTATGATAAATACCATTGGCAACTTTGGTTTTATCATTGTTCATCCCATAAAACTGCGTGGAAACAACATGATGTTTTATGTTCAAGCAATATATTGGTTGATTAGCAACTGGGTATATTAGCCAGCAATCATGGGAATGATTTGAGCAACACGTTGGAATGGATCAAAAGCTATGAAAGTTTCAGGAGAACATCACTTGACCAATCTTTGCCCGGCACGGTTTTGACCCACAAAACATGGACAGATGGAACACCTTACCATGGTGAAACCACGCAACTCTCGGTTGATGAGTTGATGTCATCTCAGGCATGGGAAAAAGCTAACAACAGCCCGCAATAACCACGCTGAATTTTAGCAGTTGCGCTCCACAAAACCCCATCAATGATTGGAGGCCATGTAGAATACCAGACACAATGCCAGAAAGAATGTCAGATACAATTTCAGAGTATATACCAGAAACGAGATGTCAGATAGAATGTTGCATGTAATTATATATATGTATGTATGTATGTATGTATGTATGTAGGTATGTAGGTATGTAGGTATGTAGGTATGTAGGTATGTAGGTATGTAGGTATGTAGGTATGTAGGTATGTAGGTATGTAGGTATGTAGGTAT